TATAATTTAAAATATGTAGTAGATACCACATTTCAATTTTAAGTGTATATTTGATATTTTGTTAGTTTGTTCACTTGCAGTCACTTGATGCAGTCTAATTTTTTGTTGCAAAGAAGGGTTAGAGTGAGTACCCACTATTAGTGAATAGTTACTTAAAATCACATACAAGATAAGAATCTGATTCAGTGGCCTTCTAACTGCATGACCTTGGGCAAGTTTCCAGGCCTCTTCCAGCCTGGGGATTTTGTTGTTTGTACGTGCTGCCTGTAAAATGAGAATAGTAATGGTATCTATTTTATAAAGATGTTGTAAGGATTAGGTAGTTTTACAGTGATATTATTATTGTTGTTTCGATTGACCTAAAACAAGGCCCATGAGTCAGTGATTTCCTGGCCTCAACCACAAAATCCCTAGTAACCTACGTGAGTGATTAAACCATGTCAGCGAGCTTACTTTTGCTTGTCTTTGTGTTGCTTTTGGCAAGGTCAGGGACCTAGCGGTTAGAAGACCATCTGTGTGGAAGGAACATAGCTTTTGCTAATAACTGCTGGTATCCCCCTGGATTTTGCAAAATATTACCAGGTTACCCACAATTTGCCATGTTCAGCTAAACTATGACTTGCAGTAAGCAAAAGATTGTTGTTTATAAGCATCCTAAGAACCCATAGGATGCGGAAAACCTCAGGGGTGGCTTCATTGCGTGGCGATAATTGACAGGCTGGCCTGTTGGTTAATGAATTCTGACAAATAAAAGATACATTATTTTATTAAAGCACAAATTCCTCAGGATTATTTTTGAAAAGATATTTTTCAGAACGAAAATCAGAACATATAAAAGAGTGTGAGTCAAAAAGAAGCATCGCTACTATTATTATAAAACCAGGAGCTTGAAAAGAGCAGACTACTAACAGTGAAACATGGAGGTATCTCAAATACATTTTGATAAATGAAAGAAGTGAGAAGCAAAAGGCACATACTGTGTGATTCCATTTACACAATGCTCTGGAACAGGAGAGATCGATTGCCAGGCCCTGGTCCTGTGCGAGGAATGGGACTGAGTACAAAGACCTAAGATGAATTTGATGGAAGTGTTCTGTACCTTGATTGTGATGGTGATATGATCAAAACTAAAACTTGACACCAAAAGGGTCAATTTCACTATCACTTGTGCACGATATCAATAAACCCGGCTTTAAAAAACAAAACAAACACAAATAACTTGTAGTGTTGATGCAGATCAGTATTTCCTGTGTGGAAGAACATACTACTTTATCTTCCCCTGACATGTGGATAGATTTCTTAAGTATTTACTGTGTATTTGTCACAGTTTCAAAGACATTCTTAGTTCATTAAGTATTTTCCATTATAAGTAGTAATTGTTTAAAAAACTTGAAAGTTATTTAATTTCCTGGAATATACTGCATGTGTTTCACGGCATTTGTTTTCTATATTAAGCAGGATGCTACAAATACTTGACCTGGCTTCAGCAATAACAACCTTTATTGGCTTCACCTCTGGCTATGGAACGACCACTCATGGCATTTAAGCCTACATAGGTACCCTCATTTACATGGGGCAGCAAGGAGGGAGCTCTTTTTCCGTGGTTCTTCCTTTAAGAGCAGGGAGCCTCCTTTTCC